AATTGCTATCATGTTTCGCCTATTCTACAGAAAGACAAACTCCGCTAAACAGTCAATTTAACGATTATATCAACAAACGGAAACAGCAGGTCAGATCGAATAAATATGGCCGCGGGGTCTTATCGAAGTTATCGAATTTGAAGACCGTACTCAACTGAATATTATCGCGAACGATCCTAACTAAAGGAGGAATGATACTGCGGTTTGGTGGTCCCTTTAATTTACAAGGGAGGTCCGTTTAGTTCGAAGTGGCCTTTTCAAATCATTTCTACATCACTTTGAAGAGCCTAAAAAGTTGGTTCCAAATCTGTCTTCACTATCTGCCAAACGCTTGGACGCTGAGTTATGAGCGTTTCTGGGAATTTATTTATTTATTTATTTATTACATACGCTCTAGGCGTTCCTTAAAAAGACAAAAATACACAGTTACTCATACTCTAATACCACGATAATTCATCATGTAGTTTGGGTCTAAACATTCGGACTAGATTATTGGAAGTGTGATGAAAGCCTGTTTGTGACTGCTCTAAGGCTGTAGTCAACAGAACTGTGTTAGTGTGTTTCATGGAGATGGTACCCATGCCCCCTTTATTGCCAGCAAAACAATTTTGATCGAAACAACAAACGGTTTGATGGTTGATAAACTGTCTAATCTCACCAAACCAGTATGCCGAGGAGAGTACAGTGACTCAAATGGATAGCAGTAAGGATTGTAGTGAATGAATAACTCATATGTGAATAAGATCATATTAAGCTAGTGTAATCTATGGAGTGGTAATCATACCAACTCGTTTGCCAGCAGAAAATGCTCTTGATAAAATAAGCAAAGCGGGGCTCGGTTGATGGAATAGTACTAGAGAACCTTGCCCAGATTCCGGTTAGAGCCCAATGCCTCCGGGAGAATATCAATGAGTTTCACTTTTTTGTGTATCAACTAGAGCAAGTCAACAAGCTGTACTGATAGAAAAAGGCAAATTGTTTAGACCTGAACTACCATAATGACAAAACATGGATTAGTAAGACATGTAAAAAGAAAGCCATTAAGAAAAAAAACACAAATTAAAGTCGTAATGGAAATTGAGTTTGTAGTTTAAAAACTCCGTGCACTCGAGTTGAGTGAAACGCATAAATAAAGGCAGGACGAGCAGTGATCATGAAGAAGTTAGGATGACCATATGAATGAACTGAAGAGCGCCATTTCACAGTGCAATAACATAGGTGTAGCAGCACCGAAGAAAAAAGCGGTAACTGTAATAGAAGGTTGTAACTTAGTCTAAAAGTTCAATGTCTAAAAGTTCAATGATGAAAACTGAGTGTCAGTTCTCAACAACTTAGTCCTGAAGGAGCTTGAGCTCAGCGAACACATCACTTCCATAGGCAACTGCTGAAACCATCTGGCAGACTTGCAGAATATGTTATTGTACATTTTCGAAAAATTGTGCTTTTTTATTTTTAGGTAGTGCAAGTCGAATCCTCCCGACCTTTCACTAGCAGGCATGAATATCCAATATTTGCTTGCCTTCAAGCTATTTTCATCTCTTAAAACTTGGAAACAAAACACTAAATCTGAAATTTTACGACGATTTGAAAGACATTTCAGATTAAAGAGGCTTTCATCAAACTTGAATTGAAAATCGAATGCGCAATCATTCGTCCAGAATTGGTCAAAACATCCAGCGTTGATTATCATTTATTAGCTTGCTTACCCGGAACCGCTCGGCCCTGTGAAAAGACTATGATAAAGGTCCCATGCCTCCTGCACAGCCTTCCCTGCCCGATTCTACATGCCAATTTCCCCTATACCGTGTCAGCAATCAGCATGCTCACTTACCCCCTATGCTAACTTTCCCAGCCCCGTAGCCCTAACTTTGCAAATAAATTGATAAAAATTGATAAAATCGATATCGATCTATGACGAAAAGACAGACAAGACTATGACACGCTCCCTGCCCCAAAGCGTATGTGTGCCAAATTTGGCCCGCACCGGTTCAGAGATAAAAATTTCCATTCCGCACATACGTACATACAGACATACAGACAGACAAACAGACATTCAGCTCTATATATAAGATTGAGTAGGTAATATGTCTAATACACTCATACTCAACATTGCTCTACTTGAGCGCTGAAAAGACCTTAACTGTTGATTTTACCTAGATTGTGCGTTCATTATTCCAAAAAACACTCATAACTCGGCGTCCAGAGGCGATTGGCAAATAATAAAAGCAGATTTGGCATAAGCGTTCAATGCGTTTCGAAGCGGTATAGGACTCATTCAAAAACCACTGCGACGGAACTGCCTTGTCAACTGAGGAAAGATATCACTCCAAGATCCACAGCTGATATTTGACATACTGCAAGATTATTGTAACTCGGGAAGAGCTACTAGTATGATATTAGATTCCATACACCTTGTGGAAGTGCTCAGACAATCGACCGGACCCCTCCGCCGGACAGTCCGAATCTGCCAGAGTCGCGCCGGACCCAGTTGACCAATGAGAGCGGGGCAAATGGGCGGTCCGTCGCGGTGACATCACTGGCAGGCAAATGGGACGCTTCTCCGGCCCTGCTGCAAAGGTCCGCCAGATTTGGAAGAGCCGCGCCGCAGAAAATGGGAGGGATCCGGAGCACAAATGGGAGGTCTCCGGAGCAGAAAATGGGAGGTATCCGGAGCAGAAAATGGGAGGTCTCCGGAGCAGAAGATGGGAGGTATCCGGAGCAGAAAAGGGAGGTATCCGGAGCAGAAAATGGGAGGTCTCCGGAGCAGAAATGGGAGGTCTCCGGGGCAGAAATGGGAGGGCTCCGGCGGACGAGTGGCAGACCCACCGCTGGGGAAACCCCGCGACCCTGCCATTTCTCCGGCGGAGGGGTCCTATCCGCTGTCTGAGTGCATCTTAAACTGAGCAAGGATTTAGAATAAACAGAACAGCTATGAGGTTTGGAGCATACAGTGCCACAGTTCCAAATTTAGTTAAACTATGCAGTTTAAAGGAATGACAGAGTAGGAGAAGAAAATCCTGCACTATCGTCTTGATAACTTAGTCATGTATTTTATGTAAGCCAAAGAACCCTCTTGTGAAAGTAAGTACACAGAACAAAGTTTCTGAAACGAGATTCGAAGAAGGGGTCAATATGTTTGTTGTACTAAAGTCAGAACAGAAATAGAGTTGAAGTTATTTAATCTCACAGTTTTACGCGTGTAGCAATAATATTTGTCTAGATGACCGTATTGAGCTCATATCTTGTACCTTCGTTTTTGTCGAGAGTGACTATTGCAAGTTTAGTGTAGTGTTTGCATGTTTGACATAAAGGCCCGTAGTAGAGCTAGTTCTCAGGTGAACTGAACTGAGGCCCTCATCCGAGGTTCGGTAAGTAGACTGCCTATCACAAGCTTTTCATGCTGTAAGAATGCTAAATGAGATTTCAGCTGACCGTCCGTCTACCTGACGAGCTAGTCTACCTTACTTCAGTCAGTTCACATTCAGTTAGACTACCATTCAATGAAAATAGTGTGCTAATGATGATACGCAGAGAAACTTCTTGTAAGTTGCTCCTGAGTAACTTACAAAACATCATAATTTGCCTAACAATGCAGAAAAACTCAACGAAAACTGCACACATTTTCCTTCGCTTGCTTGTGCAGATTCGTCGTTTTTGGCCTTTTTTTTCGCTCCCTTTCACTGTTTCATTTTGTTCTTAATACACCTGTCATCGATACTAGCATAATTTTTGCCTGAGATGATTAGAAACTTTTTTTGACGTGACATCCGTATTTTATTCCGGCTGTCATAATTCTGCTTGATCGCAATTTCCGGGTGCATGTCAAGAGGCGCGATTCTAATTGCTGGATGGACATCAAGTAGCGAATAATAAGTGTTTTGCAACATTCTGAAAGTGTTCAAATTTTAGAAGGAGATATGTTAGATCGTTTCATGAGTTCCTCAATCTCGCTACCTCGGAATTTTCAAAACAGCAATTTTGAAGGTCAAAAACCCATAAAAATGCTTAAAAACAAAACCGTGAGATTTCGGTCCACTTTTCAGCAAAAGCTCCTAAGTCCAGCAAATGTTAACCATAGACAGATGCTAAGTTAATGCACTTCATTTAATATTTTTGCAGACTTGCGTAGTACTAAACTAAAGTCTTGAGTTGGTGGCAGCCGGAGAAATCGCGCCTCTTCTCAGACAATCGACCGGACCCCTCCGCCGGACAGTCCGAATCTGCCGTCGCGCCGGACCCAGTTAACCAATGAGAGCGGGGCAAATGGGCGGTCCGTCGCGGTGACATCACTGGCAGGCAAAGGGTGGAGGAACGAACGCCTCAATTACGCACCGCCTCCGCGGACCACTGGTCCCAACACGATGCATAACAGTAGGACGAAAGGACCAGCAGCCCGCGGAGGCGATGCCTAATTGAGGCGTTCGTTCCTCTACCCGCAGGCAAATGGGACGCTTCTCCGGCCCTGCTGCAAAGGTACGCCATTTCTCCGGCGCGACTCTGCCAGATTTGGCGGACTCGCGCCGGAGAAATTTGCCCGGCGCGAGTCCGCCAGATTTGGAAGCGCCGGAGAAAGTCGGAGGGGTCCGGAGCAGAAATGGGAGGCCTCCGGAGCAGAAAATGGGAGGTATCCGGAGCAGAAAATGGGAGGTATCCGGAGCAGAAAATGGGAGGTATCCGGAGCAGAAAATGGGAGGTATCCGGAGCAGAAATGGGAGGGCCCCGGAGCAGGCTGCGTATCGATTTGGCGCGTAGCCACGCTGTGAGATTTTGAGACGTTCTTAAAGGCTAACTATTCGAACTATTCGGCGAACTATTCATCATATTTTCCTGCATTTCTCGCAATGAAGGTTGCGTTTAGACTTTTTCTTCTCAAAATCTTGATGTGTACTTTTACCTAATATCTATTTTCGTGCTAGATTTTTATTTTATTCAAAAGTGTCTGTGCTTTTCTACCGCGGATAGCGATTTCACTTACATGTCATTATCGAGCGTTTGTTTCGGTTTTAGGGATGACTCCCCCGGGTCAGTGAAGTAGTCAGCCTTTGCCATCAAAGGAGTTGGGCCTGTTCAAAAAATGATAGTGAGTACTTTATGAGCTATTTCTAAGTAATAGCCTCACTAAATTTTTTTCCCATCCGAGTCTTTTGCTTCTGATTGCAGAAATCATACGAACAAAAGAAATATCGCTTTGGACTAAAGTATGCGAGGACAATTTTGAGTAATCCGAATTTCGCTGAACATGGAGGTGGATCCTTTTTTTGACTTTGATTTTATGCTCGCATGATACGCATTACAGAAACCTTAGCAATAAAGGGGCTCATTCTTAACATGGGTAAGCAACAAGAAGCACAGGAATGTGTGAAAAGAGGTTTGAAGGTTAGGAGTCCTTTTTAGTTCCTTGTATAGTGTTTCACTCATCATTCCTGTATTTAGGCTGATTTGAAATCTTATGTTTGCTGGCATGTATACGGGCTTGTTCAAAGGTCAGACAAAAACTACGACGAGGCAATCAAGCTATTCCCTTTTTTCTGTTTTATTGATTTTATGGATATCTGTCCGGTTTAGGCATACAAGCGAGCTTCAATTCTTGACAAAGACAACATGCAGATTTTGAGAGATCTCTCATTACTCCAGATACAAATGAGGGGCTGTGAAGGGCGCAAAGTTGGTTCTTCTTGCTCAGTCCAGGAGACTTTCATTGTAATCACTTAGGAATCTCGTCATCATTTGCTGCGACTTCGGCCAACGCAGAAAGTGTCTTGGTTGCTTACGTCACAGCATATCATGTCTTGAAAGATTACGAGAAGGCACTCAATATACTAGTGAAATTCATTCAAAACAATGAGGTAGGATAGTGCCACTTTTGCTGTTGTTCATGATTCTCTGCTCAAATCTCAAAAGTTCTTGCCTTGTTTTTGTCTTTTTAATTGTGACAATGTGTATTTTTTCAATCATTTTTATTCGCTTCCAAGATAGTAGTGCGAAGAGGTAAGCGCTAAAGTCATGCTGATTTCTATTAACAAATTACTGCCATGTATCTTCAACTGACTTCTAAAAGTCTTCTCAATCTGTGTATAGGGGCCTGCAGGATCGCGAGAGTCGGACGTGCGTACGGCCATTGCGCCGCGCACGTCGTATGTCACTGGGTCGTACTCGATTTAGGCTGGATAGGTGAGATTTTTTTGTTTTTCTTCTTATTTCTCGCCTTCTTTTCTTTTCAGGCGGCGAACATATGTTGGTGCAGAGGAGTTTAATAACTAGATTAAGGTGAGGTGCAGGATTATGCTCAATACGGGCCAATATTGTGGACTTTTCACCCCTGCTTTGAAGAATGTTGAGTTTTCTGTTCTGGCTGTCCGATTATGTTCGATTTTTCGTCCTGCCTGCCCGGTTACGAAACTCCGTTTTATTTGCAACGTCTGTTCTACCTATCTTGCATCATGCGCGTCATCACAATCATAATCATTGTCATCATCATCATCATCATCACAAGCAATATGCAAGATAAGGTAGAATAGACGGTAGAAATAGAACAGTTTGCTGTAACAGGGCAGCCAGGACAGAAAATCCAACATCTCAACCAGCAGGCATGGAAGGTCTGCAATATTGAGTCCGTATTGAGCATAATCCTGCACCTCACCTTAATTCAGATCTTAAACTCCTCCGCACCAACATGTGCTCACCGTCTGAAAAGAAAAGAAGGCGTGAAATGTAAAGAAAAACAAAAAAACTTACCTATCTAGCCTTAATCGACTACGACCAGCGATATCAGGCGTGCGCGGCGCAAAGGCCGTACGCGCGTCCGACTCTCGCGATCCTGCAGGCCCCTATATGAGAACATCAATACCTGTGCTTGAGTCGGTATACGGCTGATAACATGGGATAGTATTTTTTTACCACATTGTACGCGATTTCACTCTAGCCTCTCTGTTCCTCATTGTAGCCTTCTTCCTACGACTTCGAGTACTCGGAACTTGTCCTCTATCAGAACTGATTTTCTGTGGAGCGGGCCAGCTCGAAGAGGGAATGTCAAAACTTGAGGAGAACGCCACTGTCATAGTAGATAAAGTATCTTACATGGAAAGAAATGGTTTGTGGTAGTGCATTTATTTGCAAATTTGAAATAAATGTCTTATCTCTTCGTTCTTTCTTCTATCTTCTATCCACAAACGCCAGGGGTGAGAGGGAGGGGGTAAAGAACGGGGTTGAGGGTCGCGCTGAACTCCTACCCGGGGGGGGGTCGTATTCGGCTGATTTGGGTGGGGTTTAGACAAAATTGGGGTTTGGAGCTTAAAGGCAGCGTCCAGGCAGATCTGGACCTATGGGGCTTTTACGTGGAAAATACTTTTGGGGCCCTAACTAAGGCACTGCCCAAGCAGCAGCTCAGGCAGTGCTTTAATGGCTGAGATATTCCCCTCGAAACTGGCCCCCGCGAACGTATTCGCATGGATTCATGGCAGTTTCGCGGCAGGATCCACGCTTTGCGCCATGAATCCATGCGAAACACGGTCGCGGGGCCCAGTTTCGGATATCTCAGCCATTACAGCACTACCTGAGCTGCCGCTTGAGCAGTGCCTTAGTTAGGGCCCCAGAAGTACTTTCCACGTAAAAGCCCCTAGGTCTAGATCTGCCTGGACGCTGCCTTTAATTAGGGCTAATTACAGTATGCCGCGGCAGACTTGCGGAGCACAAAATCGGGGGGCTCCGGCGCACAAAATCGGGGGGCTCCGGAGCAGAATGGGAGGTATCCGGAGCAGAAAATAGGAGGTATCCGGAGCAGGAAATGGGAGGTATCCGGAGCAGAAAATGAGAGGTATCCGGAGCAGAAATGGGAGGTCTCCGGAGCAGAAATGGGAGGGCTCCGCCGGACGAGTGGGAGACCCACCGCTGGGGAAACGCCGCGACCCTGCCATTTCTCCGGCGGAGGGGTCCTATCCGTTGCCTGCGTTGACCGTCTCCCGCAATTTTCGGGTGCTCATCGCTTAATTGTACAATCTCCTGACATAGGGTCATTAGGTGGTGTCTGGTCTTGATGAGAACTAGATACTTTTTGAAAGTTTGAAGCGGATTTCGTATTACAACTATCTGGTCAGTATTTGAACCCGAGCTGCTACTATTTCCTCTATTTTATGACTTTAGTTCTGCACTCCATTTTGCAGGAGATTCTATTTTCTGTTCTTTAAATCTTCCATTTTCGTGTGTTTGTATATGTCGTAATCGCATAATCAGCTGTTGTTTTTGATCTCTTCTCTTCCTGCTTACAACATCTAAAATGGAACTAAAATTCTTTATTGACTCGCTAATCATTGTCATTCCAGTGCATTCAGTTCATAGTAGGGTTTTTCAAATCTACCAAGGCTGATTTTCGATGATTTTTAGCACAAGATAAAAACTGTCACTGGAAGACATCTGTAGCAAAAGATCGGCTGGTTATGATAATGTCGATGAGCAAATTTATTGAGACTAGAGAGTTTTCATACTTTCGACACAAAGGTTAGCAAATTTTTGGAATTGCGTTCTAGGTTGGTGTTTTTGAGCCTTTTCATTTCTTTTTTCGTGCGGTTGTCGATAGCGGCATTATATCTGATTCTCAGTTGTTTTGGCATGATTGTTCTTTCTTGACTTTGCATGCTAATTTTTTTTCACACGAGCCCTTTTTCCTGGAGAAGAAGTTGGTCAGGAAACAAGTTTTTTTGGTACAAAAGTATTCAATGCCTTATTCTTTTTTCTTGGAACACTGCTGCCACACTTAGCTGGTTCAAACGATTTATCTCTTTCACCCCCTTCACTATTGGTCAATACAGTGTTCTGACCAAAAGTGAATGGCGAAACAAACAAACCGGTTGAAGCAGATAAATGGCACCTACCCTAGTGGTCTGCGCTGCTATACGCGCTGACACAAAGAGAATTTTCCTCCTTCGATTGATTTTGTTTTCGAAAAATTCTACATTTCTACTGTGCTGTTACCTTCCAAAATTTTTCGCAAGAATGAGGCTTTAGTTTTTCCGTTCTCTTCGGACTCACCTTTCGGAGTTTTATTTGGTGAATATGCACATATGATGTGTTCCAGAGTTTTTTTCATGGATATCTCCACTCCCTATACTCCGCGCCCCAAATGGACTCTGCTTGCACATGTGTGATTGGTTGGAAATTCACCCACGCTAGCACAGCTGTGGTCTTAGGTGAGTATCCTTTATTATAGTCTCATTGTCATTTAGCGTCTATCTGCAGCTATGTTTCTCCATCGGTGCCGTTTAGGCTCATGTTGGCAATGATTCTATTGTTGAAAACACGGAGTCAATGTTCTTTATGCAATTTTTCGTCTCTTTCTGCACACCCATTTCTCACAGGATCTATGCAGGTGCGTTGTTTTTTGTTCCATAATTCAGATATTTCGATATTTGGTCGTCTGCATAATGCATTTTCTAATTACACTGTTTTCGATCTTGAGATATAGCCTATCTCAAGAATGTGGCAGCTCCAGCTGGTCATCCGCAGCCGGCTCGCTCGACCTCGCCGGGCTTTTGTAAAGGTCGTCTGCGAACGGCACAGAGCACGGGCGAGTTGCGGCGACTGCGCGGCGCTCAACCTGCGACACTCTTGTTGAGACGACCTCCTTCACTTCTCAGTCAAGAAGCTAACAACATTCTCCAAATCGTCGCGAATCGCTCGTGCCTAGCGCCACGTTCGCAGACAATCCTTACAAAACCGCAAATTCGACCGAAGTTTTTTCAGCAGTTTTTAAGTTCGACTATGCATCCACAGTAATCGTTACGCTTTTCTAATACTACTGTTACTTGTTTTCGCTACTTTTCGTTTTATTTTCTTATCGCTCATATGAAGTTTTTTTTCTGTCAGGCCGTCGAAGTTTATGGAGGAGACAGTGTGCTGCATTGAGGCCTTGTAAGGCCCCGGGCAGACTTCACGCGATTTGATCGTCGCGACTGAATTGCGACGAGACAACTGTTACAACATCATTCCATGCCGATCAAGTCTTGGCGATTAGATCGCGACGATTAAGTCGCGTGAAGTCTGTCCGGGGCCTAAGGCTGTGACCCCTACCACGAGGCCGGGTTCATACTGATCTTTGAGTTCCAGAATTCCAGCACAGCGTTCGAATTGTGCGCTGTGTCACTTAGTGCTTTTTTAAGGGGGTAAATGGAGGTGGGGTGAAGGCTAAAATCAAGAATCAAATCGAATTTGAAATCAATTAAAAAGTCAAAATCAAAAAAAAAGAAAATGTACACGATGAGTCACTTTTATTTATAAGGCACTGAGGCCCATTTGCACGTACATCCCCGTGGGGAGGTGAGGGGATCTGAGAAGGGATGCGTCAGATCTCCCTGGCCTAGACATCTTTCTTTTTCTTTCTCTATCTGCATGGTGGTTCTCATACTGTGATACCTGCGCACATTGGATGCCAGGTTACTGCCATACAAGATTAGATTTTCACTGTTTTGTGTGGTTCCCTGGGGATGTATGGCAGTACCCTGGCAACCGTTATGCGCAGGTATCACGGTATGAGAACCATTATAATGCAGAGAAAGAAAAAAGAAGAAAGATATGCAAAGCAGCGAGATATAACGCGTTCCCTCTCAAATCCCGGGTAGGGGGCTATATGTAATCGAAAGCGGGAGGTCCCGCTGGACATCTGCTCAAATGTACATTCCAGTACATGCAAAGGCTGAGTATCTGCTGCATTGTCCGCGCGGATCCTCCCACTTTCGGCGACATATAAGGCAGCATGAATTAAAGGCAGTGTCCGGGCAAGAACTCGATTTTGAGATTTTGTGCCTACCCGGGCCTTTTCGCTATGCTGAATCCGAAAATCCACATTGGAAAGTGCGGAAACGACAAAAAGGGCTCTAACACTGGAGGGAAGTAAGCAAGTGGGCGGGGTCTTCCCCACTGTGAATTCACGCTTCCAGCTTCCAGAGCATTTTCTCGAATTCTTAGCCGCTCTGACATCACTACCTATCAAGTGCAAACGAATGACTTGAAACCGGAATCAAAAAGATTGCCCCCGAAGCTGGGAGCGTGAATTCACAGGGGAAGACCCCCCCCTTCACTTGCTGATTTCTCTCCAGTGTTAGAGACCTTTTCCGTCGTTTTCGCGCTTTCCAATGTGGATTTTCGGATTCAGCATAGCGAATAGGCCTGGGTAAGCACAAAATCTCAAAATCGAGTTTTTGCCCGGACACTGCCTTTAACATCCCCGCTGGGGATTAGATTGCAGCTTTACAAAAAGCTTCATATCCTGGAGCTCCAGATATCTGGATTTCACGGTGTATACCTCTCCGTAAGTATTCCTACCATCCTTCCCTATGGTCATTTTGAACAGGAGTGAGAAGCTGTGCAAGCCTCATTTTCTAGCGTTTTGTATGATTCCCTGATGATCCTCGCGGCCGACCGTCTTCTCTTCTCCGAAGCTACTTACGGATGGACAGACAGCGTGAAATCCAGAAGTTCGGAGCTTTAGAATATGAAGCTTACTTTTTAAGCTGCGATCCCCTCCCTGGCGGGGATCTTGATGCATGCGGCCCATAGTCCTCTACCCCAGATCCCCTTCCCTTCCCACTCCCCGGGGATATACGTGCATACGACCTAAGAATGAGTTTGGCTAGCCAAAACATGACGGCTCTTTTTTTTACTTTTACGCTGGACATATGATAGCAGATTTCACAATGAACATGTACATCCTTTGTTGTTGACGCTGTTTATCGTCAATTCAATGCAACGACTGCCTTTTAGGTGTCTTGGAAGACGCTATATACGCGTTTTGAGAATCGGTTATAATTTTTCGTTGTCGGCCTACTTTTGGTATTACAAGGAACGATATTTGTTTGACTGTTCGAAGGTTCTGACTCTCACGGTACTGGAGACGATGTATCGTTATTGGAAGTACAAAATCAGGGCAAGTCTGAATGCAGGTCCTTATAGCGATTAGTGTTTTTTTTGGTGTGCGAAGCAGTTGTTTTATAGAGCTATCAACATCTACGGGGTATATTGAGACAAGCAGGTGCCCTTCATGCAGGTATCATCGGCTCCACGATTCGTGTAGAGGCGGGGTTTTGCCAACTCAAAGCGTGGCGGTTTTTGATAGCGAGAAAGTACAAAAAGCAATGCTATGACGTGGAGATTGAACAAGTTTACCTGTGTTATCAGGCGAAGTCTGCAATACACCTCTACACGAATCGTGGAGACGATCATAATCACACCTGTTCACACTCTGGAGTTCATCAGAACTCGGTGGATGCCTACGTAGCCGTGTCCGCGTAGGAACTCAATTTGCTCACAGAATTTGATAATAAAGCTCTTATCAAGAATTCTTCCCTTTACATTACCTTCATTTCTTGTCCTTTTGTTAACACCTATGCGATTCGTCCGAATTTGCTTGACTGAAAGGTTATCAGTGGCTTCTGTGCAAAACTTTCACGGGAGTGGTTGAACAAGAGGTAGAAGCTCAGCGATGTCTTAGTTATATCCGTGCACTGCATCACTAGGAGTTAAGAGATTCAAATGTTTTCAAAACAGGTGGAGTCCTTGAACAGGATATGAAGTTTAAGATGAAGCCGGGACTTGTAAAATATATGGTAGACTGTTGAAGATAGCATCTCGTCCATTATGTTGTGTTCTGAGTAGCTCAAAAAGGTGGGGGAGGGAGGGGGTAGCTAAATCTTGAAAAACAAAAAAGATAATGCGAACAGGCGATCCCTCAGTGGAGCTAGTTGCTATCTTTTTCATTTCGTGTATGTGAAAGGCGCTCGTTTCGGCAATCGAGTATTAAGAGACTAGATTCATACTCCACACTAGTAAGGCTTCCAGTCGCTCTCGATATGACCGTCTTGAGGAGACAGTGGGAATTCGGTTGAGTAGTACGACAGATGATGCAAACAATTGCTTGGCGTTTTCGAAGGCAATTGCATATGACAATTAACAAAGACCGAACTTGAATTTAGAGAGATGATCAATACCACCAGAAAGATGCGTTAGTAATGACCCGTTAACAAATCCTGTGCCCACAAAATCGCAAGAACTGACTATTAGGCCATGTTGTACTTTCAACCTTCCAGCAATGCGCTTGAACTCACTTTTCTAAAAGGAATTTCCTACATGCTCTTAGAGCTATCATTCATTAGCTACACCATACATTTCTGACAAGTTTAAACCACTCTTTTCATTTCTAGTAGTAGAACAGTTGAATGGGGTGAATTACGAGTTTTGACTCGTACAATACATTTGGTCATTTCGAGAATGATTACGTGTAAATGAAGGATATGGATCAATGGCTCGAATGAAGGCAAGCTGACTCGTCGAAGCCTTAACTGAAATTTTATTCAGTTGAGATCGACTGAAGCAGCTTTACTACGGGCCAAAGTCATTTTATCGGTTTTTATGGTGTTGTTAGATTCATATGACGCGAAACCTAAACATTGGCTGTTTCACTTTTTACTTTCTGAAATTGCCTCCTGCCTCCGAAGTTCCGCTCAAGTTTTACACGCATCGAAGAGTTTATTACCTTAGTGAAGCAAGAGTGAAAGCAAAGTCAGGCTTACATTCATTTCTCAGACATTCGAAGGGATACCTCAGGGGGGCAAATGCCGGGGGTCTGCCACTTCGTGCTACGGAGCCCTCCCATTTCACGCGTTCTGGTGCTCCGGGGCTCCTCCAAATCTGGCGCATCCCCGGAGCAGAGATCTGCTAACTCCGGGGAGGGGTCCCATTCGCCTTCTTGTGACGTCACGGTGACGTCACAAGAAGGCGAAATGGGAAAAATGGGTTTCAGATTTCACCAAAACGCGTGAAATGGGAGGGCTTCGGAGCACGATGTGGCAGACCCCCGGCATTTGCCCTCCGGGGGTATTTCTTTACTGTGTGAGTTAGAAAATCAATTCAGAAGCGCTTCAATAGTGCAAAGCATTAACACAGATTTTTGCTCCAGTGTTTTGAAGCATAAGGGTCGAGAATGTTTCGAAGAACATTGCTCAGGCCGAAATTATCATTCAGAGATCTCATACACAGCTCTTCTCTGTCGATAAGTGAATATGAGACGGCAAACATAGATGTGCACAACTAATCAAAGTCTATGTGTATGTGTCCTAGAATTATGATACTCAAATATTTATGTAAGTAGTTTTTGAACAAAGATTTATGAGATGACACTAGTTTTATATGAAGGAGTTTATGTCTGTCTGCTAATTTTCAGTGTACTGTTCTCTGTCGTCCATTCCTAGTGATTTAGGTCTCTAGTCTGTTTTTTGCTAATTTTTGAAGCTTCTTTGTTAATTACTGACGCGGGCATCTAGGAAGCTGGCTGCACAATCGGTGTTTCGTAGCCATCGAGAAACACATACAAGAAGAATCTTGTTTTCATGTTTTCAATAATTTTTTATCATTATATTATTCACAATAGTTTTTGAGAAATCCCAGCTAAAATATAATATTTGCGATGATGATAATTAATCGTATCAGTGTGCACCACCTCAGCAGCACAATTTGACAACGTTGCCTATGAAGTTCTTGCTTTTGCTTTCTTCCAAGGCTTGCATTATTTTATGTCTTCCTCCTCATGGAAACCTTTTCTTTCGAAAATTCTAGTATCAATCTTTCACTTTGAATGATGCTTAAAAGGATAGAGTGCTAATAATTAAGATCATAAGGCTTTAGATTACCAAGGTAATGTAGTCGAAATTTTTTCCTGTAGCGTAATAAATAGATAAATAATACATTAACTTGTGTAGCTTAGGTCCTAACATATTCAAAGAACGAGGTCTTCACTGGTTTCAATTGCAAGACGGCAAATGTTTTGGCTAGGCGACGAAAACGCTTGGTTGTAAGTGGTCAGGCTCGTTTCGAGTTGAAATGCAAAGAAAATACAATGCCATATTTCCTCCCAACGGATGAAAGACTGATACTCAACTGTTGCTAAATATTCATTACTGACAGCATTTCAATATATTTGCTTGTCAAACAATATCTACAATACATTGGCTATAGCCACTGGAATTCTTCTCTCGGTGCCGAAACTGAAGTTTGATTCTCTTTGATTTTGATATGACATTGTCGCGAAATCGGGTGACTGTGCCATCATTTGCTGAGAAAAACTGTGAGTTGACCTATTCCTATCAGTTCTCAAAGTTATGTTATAAGAGTAATGTAGAAGGGCCGCCGGTGTTGACAAATTTGACACCGGTGAAAATTCCGCGAACACTGTCATTTTGAAAAATAACAGTCGAAGAGATCTTTTTGCACCACAATATGCTACAGTAACTCTGCATGTTATGCGGTATGGCAGAATGCCAAATCTGTTGTTATTTTTTCGAAATGTCTTCCAGATCCTTTCTTTCACCTTATACATATCTAAAAAGATGTTGAATGAGCAACCTAGGCCAGCTTTAGGATTACTGTAGCATATGTTTTTTGAAAATTATAGTAGTTTTTTCTAAATTGTACGCGATCTTGAAATATCAATAATTTGCAGCTCTGTACGAGTACTGGTCCCGTTTCTCACCGCTTTCTTAACTCTTAAAACGGAACACCTTGTACTGAAAAGCGCTGAGAATTTGTTTTCTCTTCGTGAACAAATATTCCCATTTGTTACGATACTTCAATTCCGACAAATCACACACTTGCATTGCTAGCCAAGAAAGTGTGCCATTCATTATTCCCACTTGGAAAAAGAATTCCAAATGGAAACTCTTGAATGGTTGTTTTACCTCCTTTGTGAATGGACACTATGCATTGAAGTATAGTATCTGTCCGGAGGAGGTGTTTCACTCATTCTCTAACCAGGAAACACGAGCATGCCGCGCGTACGTCTGATTAACAAATTCATGAGCGCGTGTTAACGTGTCTCAATGATTTACAATCAAAATTCGTGAAAAAAACATGTTAGAGCTTGATAATAACACGAGTGCGAATATGTTCTTTCGCGAATTTTAGCAGTAAGTCATCCAAAACGTGTTGGGACGTCCTCATAAACTTGTTGATCAGATGTACGAGAACGTCCTCGTGTCCCTTAGTCAGAGAATGAAAATGAGGACCTTAAAGAACGTACTCATAATCTTGTTGATCAGATGTGCGCAAACGTCCTCGTGTTCCTTAGTCAGAGAATGAAAATGAGGACCTTAAGCAAGTTTTTGAAGTAAAAGCAAAGGGTTTATCGTGAAACATGTTGAACATGAGATTGAGCTTGCGAACATGTTGCTTTGCTTCACCTTCAAGTTATCACATGATCAACATGCTCGAACGTGTTCGTAAGGCCGAAATTTGAAAGTACTGTTAATGTAATAAGACAAATAGATAGCTTGTTTACAATGCATAGTCAATCTATTTTTGGCACTTTCTTGCATAAACTCTTTTTTTCGTACAAGTTATATATAGTTACCAGTGGCGTACCCAGGATTTCGGCTCGGGGGGGGGGGGGGGGCGCGACAAAAATTTTTTTCTAAAGAAGGTGCGTGGCGTTAGCCACGCACTCCGAAAAAATTTTTGGGGTGGATCTCAAAACTTTTACGGGTCTCCGACCCCTAAAATCTGGAAAAAGGGGGCGTGGCGTCAGCCACGCCCCCGAAAAAAATTTTTTTACAAAGCTAATTTGATTTTTGAAAGTTTTTAAAAATTATTTTAATTATTTACAAAAATAAACAAGTCACTTGCACATTTTTATAACCCATATAAGTAACTTTCGAAAAATTCGCGACCCATTCTCGGGGGGGGGGCGCCCCCCCCCTTCGCCCCCCCCCCTCGGTACGCCACTGATAGTTACCAAAGATGAGTCGCAAGTAGGAATGGTGGTTTGGAATCGTCTAACTACATGCATTTACAGAGATGAAATTTCTGGAAATAGACGATTTCTCTCAATATTTATTTATTTATTTATTCATGCACATGACGTGCGCTACAATCATCATCATGAGTTAGCGGATCAACTCAACTAAACTGTTAGTAACATTAACAAACACTGACGCTAATCTACCGAATAGGAAGTGTTGATTGTAAACATAGGCAGCTTTTCCTCTAATAGTTCAGAGTA